TGCACGCAGGTTCTTATCATAATACGTCTTTATCAGTTCCATGCTTTTAGCTGTCCTTTTCGCTCCTGGGCGGCCACAAGACGGATTGTTTCATAGAGTTGAGAATGCATTTTCAAAATAAGACGGAACTGTTGGGGAATGAATTATGAAAAAACGTTTTCAAAATTGATGAAAGATTACGATAAGAACATCGAATATACGTGTATTCTCACAGTCCCACTGAACGTCGAAAAGGGCGTAAACAGCAATCACTGCTTAATATTACTCACTCATCATTTCCATTTCATTTTGAATATACGTTCTCAACTCCATGCTAGTGATGGCATCCGAACGAAATTAATTTTAATCGGATTCCGACCGAATCCACTTTTCGACATTCAGAATTCCGACCGAACTTCAAAATTGTTCAGTCAGAATCTGGATCTCGGAATTTCGGCCGAAATTTGTCCAATTTTTCCGACTGAACATCAGACGCATGCTATCACTAGCTGAATGTCATCGCCACTGCATTGCATAGCACGGGCATCTTACTAACGATAGATATCATACCGCTTGCTAACGCAACAGTAATGACGCATACTACTCCAACAAGATAGTGGATGTTTATTCACTATACAAACCATGAATGAACGATTATAACTACAAAATAAACTAATCCAGTTCAGATCGACTCTCACAAAGCATAATTTCCATCCAAATGTGAACTCTGAGTTTTGAATAATGGTCACATGCAAAACAATCNAAAGCATAATTTCCATCCAAATGTGAACTCTGAGTTTTGAATAATGGTCACATGCAAAACAATCAGAACTTCATATGCAACAGGGGTAAAATTTTCACGGGTATAGCCTTAAAGTGCAAAAGATTTATACGGAACACCAATATGGCGGTGAGCTATCACTGAAAGGTTCGGTTCTCTTACGGATGAAACCAGCTCATTTCATCAACATAATTTATTAATAGCTTAAGATTACTCACTGATCAGTTCGTTGAGGCAGTTGCTGAGACATGAATACTATTGCGGAATAAAATCCATCTAAAATCACAGTTGACCGTAATGAATACCCCGTCCAACAACTGAACAATCAAATGAGCAATTTGCAAGGTCTTCCAGTCAGATTTTTTCTACGAGGTTCCACAAATACAAATCCGTTGACGTCTGATATTTGCATCCCCCTCGTTAACGTTGGGCAAAATCGCTGGAACTACCCACATCCAAACCATTTTTTTCCGGAATAATCACTGTTTTATTTGGTTAGAGTTGTGATAGAACAAGATGAGACGTTTAAATAGTCAACTTTCAACAGGAAAAACGAATCCAATGACTTTTTCAGAGGAA